TTTTTTTTTTTTTTTTTTTTTTTTTTTTTTTTTTTTGTTAAAATGGTAAGAGAGGCACATGAATTATTAGATGGCAGCAGACCTATACCTATTGATAAAATTACTTATGAATTGTCTCAAAATATTATATTAGCATTTGATAATAATGAAAATATTAATAATAATAGTTCACAAATAGAAATAGAAGCAAGGGTTGGTATTGTTATTGATAAAAATAAAAACAGATTAAAATTACCAATAAATACGGATGCAATAATTGAAAATAATTATTCTGATTTTAAAGCAGGTGTTGATAAAGAAGAATTTGAATATCTTTTAGATTATTTAAATAATATAACCGAAAAAAAAAAAACTAATTCTTATAATAATAATGAAAATAATTTTTCAAATTCCAAGAAGCTTATAGGTGATTTAATTGAAGGCAATAATAATAGTGGGTCTATGAATACATTTAACAATATAGATGATTCTATTTATGAATTTGTAAGATTAAAAACAGATAAAAGTGTTGATAAATACTATTTAATAAATAGCAATAATACTAGAATTAGAGTAACTACCTCCTTAAATGATAAAGAAAATGAAGAAAATGAGAGTATGGTGAAATCGTTATATAAAGAAAACATTAATACATGGAATATTTATCTGGGTAATCATAATGATTATTTTGATGATGACGATGAAGAAGAGCATAACAAAAATGATTCAGTTGATTATCGTATTTCTATAAATATAGAACAAACTAGACCTATAAGTAAACTTTATTTATCTAAAACAACACCTGTATATGAAAGAATCAAGGAAAGAACAACTTTTTTAAATAAATATTTAGGTATACAATTAGATTTAACAAAAATTGAAACAAAAAATAATCAGTTATACGAAATAGAAATTGAAATACCATCTAAAAGCATTCTTAAAGCAATGTCTAATTTGAGAAATAAAAATGATTCTAATTATTTGCATTTCATTTGTTCAAATTTAGTAAATAACGTTAGAGGAATATGCAGTCATTTAAATTATTTAAAAAAAAGCAAAAATATTTTAAAACATACAAATGATACACTACAAAATTCTCCATTAAATTATAATCATCCTTCAAAAGAAAAAAAAAGATTCAAAAAATATATTCATGACGTACTTCCTATTGTTGGTGACTATATGTACAGAGTTGTTGCAAAAAATGAAAAAAATATAAAAAGAAAAATGGAGGATAATAGTATTTCAAATCAAGAAAAAATAAATATTTTTAAAAACTTAATTGATATTAGAAGACAAAATAAAAAATCGTTAAAGAGAATTAGTGAAAATTATGCAGAAAATAGATGGAAAATTATAAATAAAGACTCAAAAATTGAGATAGTATTGCAAGATGACGAAGAAGAAAACGGTGAAAACGAAAGTAACATTGACATAGAAGATAATCATAATAATGAAAATTATGATTTTAATAGTGAAAATAATTTCTTTAATAATGAAAATAAGGATAACATTAATAATGAACACAATGATAACTCTGATAATGAAAATAATAACTTTTATAGCAAAAATTATAATGAAAATTCTAATCAAGATAATAATAATAGTCATTATAAGGAATTCTACAATGATACATAATTTTAGTAATGATAGTTTTCATTTATATTTAATGATTTATATATATATATATATATTTATCAATCTTTTTAGTTATTAATTTTTTTTTTTTTTTTTTTTTTAAATATTTTCATATTAACATAAATTTTATATCTTCTAAAAATATTGTATAGCTTTTATTTTTAATTTATACATAGAAAATGAAAATATGAGTATTTATTTTTCTATATTTTTAAATTTGTTTAATAATATAATTCACTATTTTTTTTTTATGACTTTTAGTTTTTTAGTTTTAAATAAATAAGGAATTCATTAAAATATTAAGGTTTATGTTGTTATATTTAAGAATATCATATCTTCATAAATATTATGAAATTTTTTAATAGTTTTCTCTTTAATGTATATAAAATTATTTGTTTTTTAATTTATAGTAAAATAGGAATTACTCAAAATATTTTCCATCAATATAAATACTTAATTATCAGAACATTATACGTAAAATAACATCAACGTAATAGAAATACTAATAAATTTTTTTTTTATTCCTTTTTTTTTTTTTTTTTTTTTTGCATATAAAGAAAATAGTTTCATCTTTTAATGTAATACTTAAAATTTTTATTTTGAAATATATATATATATATATATATATATTTATATATATGATTAAATAGAAAAAAGTATATTTAGTAGAAAAAACTTTTTAGTATAATACATTAATATTTCTAAAAAAACTAAAAGGAAATAAAATGGGGTATATTAAATTCTGAAAAAACAGAAAGTTTTAAAATACATTTATATTTTAAATAAGAAATAAAATTTTTATATAAATAGGAAATCTAATGTAGTTTTTCAACATAGAAATATTAATATTAAATGTATTATTATCATTTAACTTTTTAATATAAATATTTTGAATTTTTTGTAAAGCTTAGCAAGTTAAAATTTCTACTTACAGTCTAATATTCTTAAGTAGGGAAAAATACAACTTATTCTTTAATAATACTTATTTTTTATTTTACACTTAAATATATTCTTAGAAAGATAAAAATATATTAAAAAAAAAAAAAATTAAGCATATATAGGTAAATGCAAAAAAAAAAAAAAAAAAAAAAAAAAANNNNAAAAAAAAAAAAAAAAAAAAAAAAAAAAAAAAAAAAATTCTTACTGTATGTAAATGAAAAAAAAAAAAAAAAAAAAAAAGTAAAATTATAAAAAGCTTGTATTAATAAAAAAGAGAAAAAAAAGAAGAAAATTTTATTACAAAAAAAATAAAAATAAAAATAGTACATATAAGAGATAAGATACAATAAAAACATTTTATTGTTATATACAAAAGAAGAAAAAAAAAAGAAAAAAAAAAGAAATAAAAAAAAGAAATAAAAAAAAGAAATAAAAATCGTTTATTGTTAAATTATATTATTATAATTATATTTTTTTACATATTTATTTTAATTCAAAATGAGTAAAAGAAGCAAAGTATTTTTCGATATATCAATTGACAATAGAGGTGCTGGAAGAATAATTTTTGAGTTGTTCAATGATATAACACCAAGAACATCAGAAAATTTTAGAGCATTATGTACAGGAGAAAAAATTGGATCAAGGGGAAAAAGTTTACACTATAAGGGTTCAATTTTTCATAGAATTATTCCTCAATTTATGTGTCAGGGAGGAGATATAACAAATGGAAATGGTTCAGGTGGAGAATCTATATATGGTAGATCATTTACAGATGAAAATTTTCTTGTGAAACATGACCAACCAGGTTTATTATCAATGGCTAACGCTGGACCAAATACAAACTCTTCTCAATTTTTTATCACTTTAGTACCTTGCCCATGGTTAGATGGTAAACATGTTGTTTTTGGAAAAGTTATTGATGGTATGAATGTTGTAAGAGAAATGGAAAAAGAAGGTGCAAAAAGCGGATATGTCAAAAGACAAGTTGTTATTACTGATTGTGGAGAATTATAAAAAAAAAAAAAGAAAAAAAAAAAATGTACATACATATTTATTAGAATTAGCTAGCTATAACTAATTATGTTACGTATATAATTGTCAATATATTTAATTGATATATTTTTTTTTATATGCATTTTTTTTTTAATTAATACATACATATATATATATATATATATGTGTATGTGTGAACAATCATTAGAATGTATCGTTCTTTTATTCATATATTTTTTTTTTATTAAATAAAAAAAAATAAAAGTTATTATTAATGTAATGCTAGTTAAAACATCCTTTTACGAGAGATTGATTTAATATAGTAGTATATATTTATATATATAACATTTTCAATGTAATGAAATAGGATAATGAAACAAGAAAAAAAAAATATACTATAAAATTTATTTTATATTTAAAGATAACATTGATAAATATATCGTATTGAAATATTCTCAAATTCATTATTCAGAAATCCATTTTAACGCGTATTTCCTCATTAGAAAAAAAGCTAAAATAAGAATTAAGTTAAAAGATACATACTTATGATAATATAAATATACAATTTTTTATATCAGAAATTTTAAGTTTGCCTCATTCTTTATTAATTCCTTATTATTATTAAAGTACACTCTTTTAAATTTTATATATATATAAATTGTTCTTATCTAAGGTTAAAAAAAAGTAAAACATAAAAATTGCAATTTAAAAGATTTTCAAAATTTATATTTACCTTTAAAAAAATGTTTGAAATTGTACACACCAAAATTATTAAATATTTTACATAAAAATATTTTTCAATTTTAACCGAATTTGCTTTAAACTTTTTAATGGCTATTAAAAAGAAATAAATAAAATAATATAAAATATTAATGTATTTATTCTTATCTTTTTATAACTAAAAAATTAATTTAATATAAACCCTATCAAATTAAAAATAATTAAAGTATTTGAAAAGTTGTCAATTTTAGTAAAAATGAATTTTTCTTACACCAATGACAAGCAAAAAGAATATCTTGTATCAAAGATAATATGATTAAATAAAATATAATAATAATTAATCTATTAAAAATAAAAGTTAGAGAAATTAAAATCTATATATAAATAATTAAATATATATATATATATATATATATATAGGTAAATTATAGTTCTTACTTATATTTAAGTTTTTTTTTTATGTGAGTATTAAATTTATTTAAATTATATTTAATAAAAATTAAAAAATAAATAATAGGAAAAAATAAATCGGATCTCTCCATTAAATTAATACTAGATAAAATGAATATAGCAAAGGTAGAAAGCTTTAAACTTTTATATAATTTTCCGCATATATTATTTTCCATATTATCAATAATATTAAAAAAAAACATTTAATTATTTCATATTTATTTCCTATAAAAGGTATTTTAATATATATGTATGTTTAATCATATTTTTATTTGAAATAATAATATTTTAATATTCAGTTCTCATTTTTAATTTTACGATACATTTTAATAAAAATATTTATTCCTTTATTTCTTTTCTTTTTACATATATTTAATAGACATAATTGATGTTATAATTTTATGTAAAAAAAATTCTTTTAATCAATTTATATAAAACAAAGTTTCTATGTGCATACAAAATAATATGTGATTTTTTAATAATACATAAAAGGACAAAGAAAAAAAAAAAAAAAAAAATGGTTATTAGTCAAATATAATTAATGATCAGTTTAGAATAATAAAAAAAAAAATAAAAAATTTGTAACTTACAAATAAGGAAAAATAGATATTCTTCAAATGTATGAAGAAAATTAAAAAACACTATATTTAATAAAATGAATTTAAGAACAATAACAAAAACAATATTTTTAAATTTAAGCAAATAAAAAATATAAATAATTTAAAAATTCATTTTTAATAAATGAAAAGAAATAAAATTTTAATAAATTTATATGTTTTTTTCAATTATCTCATTATAGAGCGCTAATTTCATCATATGGCTTACCTAACTTTTTCAAATGATGTTTTTCAGATATTGTATAAGATACAATCATAATTGATAAAATTATCTTTAAAAAAAAAGAAAATATATACAAATAACAATTAAATTATCTTTATAAATATATATAAATAATATTTTTTTTTTTTTTATAAAACCTTGAAAAGAAATAAACAAATCCATATAGATAGAGCAAAAGATAACAAGGATATATTTGATAAATAATTTAATCTGAAAATTAAAAATGTAAATATTTTAGTATATATATTAGAAAATTTTTCTATTTTAACATATTCAAAAACTTGAAATAAAAAAATATGTCCATATATATATATATAAAATTACTTATATATATATATATATATATATATATATATATATATATATATATATTTTTTTTATAGGAATACAAACCTTGGTAAAGAACAAACGATCAAAGTTACAACTGGCATTGACATATATCCAAGTCTTCTGAAATGATGTATATATTTAATAAGTATTATCAAAAAAAATTGAATGAAAAAATAACAAATTAAGGAATAAAATATTTTAAAAATATAATCTAACCTTGTTGGTATATGAGAAAAACAAAAAATATTTTTACATGGAACCTTAAAGGATGTTTTCATATAATGAATGTTATTATTTGGTGTTCTTGAAATTAAGACATCAGCTAAAAGGGTCTAAAAGAAAAAGGATACACATTTTCATATATATATATATATATAAAAGAAACAAATGAATTTATATAATTATTATTTATTTATAAGAATTTTTTTTTTTTTTTTTTTTTTTACAAGAAAATATTTATTTAAGGATTCGGATTTCAAATTATTATATTTTAATAAGTATGAATGTTTACACCAATCTACTCCTACTTCAAGTAATAAAATAATTATCTGCATAAAAAATAAAATACAAAAAATAATAATATATTAAAAGATAAATTCAAATTGAAATTAAAAAAAAAATAAATATAATTTATATTTTTTATTTAAGCATTACCAGCCAACTTGAAATACTTATAAAGGAATTTTGTGTTCTATTAAAATGAAATATATAAATAAAAATTATACATTTTTATATATTCATTATAATAAGAATTAAAATAATATGAAAAAAAAAAAAAAAAAAAGGGAAACCTATAAGCAGTTGACATTTTTAATAAAACAAGAAATGCATCAATGAATAAATAAAATCTTTCAACTGCATCAGAAGCTACTATTGTAAATAATGATATTTTTGTAAACTTTTTAAAAACTGTAGATTTTATTTCCGTAAAATTGCTCATAACTAAAATTAAAAACATTGTTGACTAAAAAGGAAAAAAAAATAACATATAATATATATATATATATATATAATATAGTTTAACTTTCTATATGTGCTAAAAAAAAAAAAAAAAAATTACCTCTGATGAATTTATAGCAATATTTAAAGATAAAAAGCGAACAAGATGAATAAAAGAATGAATCAAAATATAAAAAAGAACAAGAATATATTGCATACATAACTTAATTAATATGCTATAAAAAGGAAAAAATATAGATATTTTAAATTCATTATTCATTTCATTATTTTTGTTATTTTTAAAAAACCAAAAATTTTTCCTTTTTTTCTTATCTAAACAAAAATATTCTTCTTCTTTCTCATAATAATAAGTATTTTTAGAAATAATTTTATTTTTAAAGTTATATCTATAATATATATCTCTATAGTTTAAATAAATATTTTCATTTTTTTCTGTTTCTTTTTGTAAACTATCTATAAAAGAATTTTTTTTATTTTTATTTTGGCTAGTGAATCTATTTATTTTGTTTTTATTATCAAAATTATTTATATCAATTTTTTCATTTTTATCAATATAATTATTTAAGTGATTTTCACTTTCTATATAATTTTTATTATTATTTGCTTTTTCATTTTCATTATTATTTTGATAATTTCTTCGTATAATATAAATATATGAATGTAAATTAATTATTCTAATAAATGTTCTGATCACATTATCAATTAAATCCTTTCCTAATGATCTTAATAATCTTTCTAATATTTCTAACATGTTTAGAACTACATATAATTTCATAAATGGTTGTGCTCTTATATAATGATAAACTCGAGATGTATCTACAAATGAAAAAATGTAAATACAAATTAAAATTAATGATATTCTTATTAATCCACTATATTCAGGGAATGATAATTTTAATGAATTTAAATGCTGTTGAAATAATTTTTTTTTCATATTTTTAACTTTAGCTAAATTTTTCATTTTTTTCCTTTCTGATAACTTTTCATTAAATTTATTATATATATAATTTTCACTATTCCTTTTATAAGATGAGTAAAATGGTTTCAATTTATCATCCAAAAATATATCATAATCATTATTAAATTTTGTGTTGTGATTAATAATATAACTCTCTGGTTTATAAAGAGTTTTACTGAAATTTTTATTGTAAGTTTCAATATTATAATGATTGTTAGTATCATTATTATAGTTATTATCTAAATTAAAATTATTATTATTATTATTATTATTATTATGTAAGATATCCTTATCATTAAATTTATTATTACTATTTATCATATTTTTAATTGTATTAAAATTATTTTTTTTATTTTTATTTTTTAATTTTTTATCTTTTTTATTTATAAAATTATAATTTTTGTATATAATACTACTTGAAAAATTACTTTTATTATTAGAATGAATATAGTTTATATTCTTTTGTTTATTCATTAAAATATTTTTTTCTGAATAATTTTTTAGATTTTTATAGTTTGTTTCCTCATTCTCTACTTCATTGTTGCATAAATTACTAGTTTCTATTTTTTTATTAATATTATTATTTATGTTATAGATAGAAGATTTGTTAATGTTATGACTGTTTTCTAAATCTAAATTTTCATTTTCTATTAGTATTTTTTTTTCTATACTTTTTTTTCTTTTATTTTTATATTTTATAGTATCCTTTTTTAAGTAGTTTTTAAAAACTTTTTTATTAGAAATATCAGACAATTCCTCATTTGTGTTATTTTTTCTTTTATTCATGTATCTTAATTCAAGAGATCTAGTAATGATTTTCTTTTTTCCTTCATTATTAAAAATTTTAAGTGTATATAATTTGTTAATATTAATAAAATGAGCAATATTTATGTAAATATTGCTATATAAATCTTTAATTTGTGTTTTAATATTTTTTAAATAATGATACATTTTCCTCTTTATAAAATTAAATGGTTTAAATATATTTAAAAAACTATTTATTCTATTTTTTTTTGTAGTTCTATCAAATGATTTTTGATTATTTGTTTTTATTTTTTTTTTTTTTAATTTGAATTTTTCTTTTTTTTTTTTTTTGTTATCTATTAATTTCGTATTCATGATGTTATCTTTTTTTATATCTACAGAACTTATATTTTTAATTAAACTTGATTCAGAATTTTCACTAAAATTAGACATTTTTATAAAATTATTATCTTTTAACTTACATATTAAGTTGCCAGTATTAAGTGAATTATTTGTAAAAAAATCTTTCTCATCTAAACTATATTCAGAGTTAGAATTATTCATATCATATCTAAAATCATTTGTATGATAATATGTAAAAAAATTTCTAGGTGAATTCTTATTTTTTGGATAAAAATCTGTGAAATTTTTTTTTTTTAAATTAATATCTTTTTTAAAATTGTCTTTTCTATCAATGTAAGAGAAATTATTGCAACTATTTATTCCTCCTACTTTATATTTTTTAAAATTTTTAAAATTACTCGTAGCATATTTATAAAACTTATAATTTTTTACATTTGAAAAAACATATAAAAAACGTTGACTTGCATTTTTAAAAAATACATATATTAAAATGCATATTGATCTAATAACCTAAAAAAAGTAAGAAAATAATATACAAAAATATTTTGTTTATAAAAAAAATAAATAAAATTAAGAATTGTAAAATATATCATTTTATATATATATATATATATATACTTGTATAGGCATAAAAGTTATATCATACAATATATTATCCAAGCATAATAAAAAAGAAAAACTCATAATTTTTTCTAAAAAATATGGAACATTTAACATATGTTCTAATGCATTATTTGGTATTGAATCTGATTTAAAGAAATTATCAAGGAATTTATAAAAATCATATTTATTATCTTCATTTTCATTCTTCTCGTTATCGTGTAAATTATTTGTTCTTTTATCTTCTTTAAGTTGTTCTTCATTATGTTCATTATCACTAAGATATGAATCATAATATCTTCCTCCTTTTATTTCATCAATTATAAAATCGTACAATGTTATTCTATGCATGTCTTTATCATTTTATTTAAAAAAATTTATCAAGTGAATTAATTCATATATATATATATATATATATATATATATATATATTTATTTTAAAGATATTAAATTTATGTTATTTTTCAAATAATAATTTTAAAATATATATAATTAATATTAATTTACATTCTATATTAGAAAATTTAACTGTACAAAAATAAATTTTAACGTGAAAAAAAGTGTAGAAAATTGTATAAACTTTAGAATATATTAAAATTGTGTAAAATATGGAGATATATTTTTACAAGTGTTAAATTTACTATTTTTCATATGAAATGTAATTCTAATTATTTTTCTTTTTTCTCATTAAATATTTTATCTTATATATTTTATTTTTTTTTTTTTTAATTTGATGTTCGTAAAAAGAATAAAATAAACAAGAAGTGTAAACAAATATATTTATTTGATATTTCTACTTTTTATTTTGATATACAAATTAAAAAAAAAAAAAAAAAAAAAAAAAAAAAAGTTATTCACAAAACTTGAGAATAATATACCTATTTATTCGCATGTATAATAAAAAAAAATTTCAATTCGATGATGTATTAAAAAAGGATTCAAGATATTGACTAAATAAAATAACTTAATAAAAATCATAAGCATCTAAAATACTTTAAGAAATATTAGAAAATTTATATTACAAAAAATTATTGTTATTTTTCCAAATTAAAAAAAAAAAAAAAAAACTTCATTTTTTCAAAAATTATTTAATGATTTTGATAAATATAATATGCAAAAAAATTTTTAGTTTTACAAATAAACATATATACATAGCAGAAGAAAATTTTTCAAGATGGTAAAGAAATAATTATAAAATAAAGGATAATTTTTAAATTAATTACAAAATTAAATATAAATAGAATTAATATTTTTATTTAAATATATATACAAGTATAATTTTGCTAAATAATATATATGCGCTTCAAGTTTTAATGAAAAATAATATAAATAATTATTTTTATTCGAATGTCTGCAATTATATATTAATAAAAATAGATCATAAAAAAACATACTTATGTCTCTATAATACCTAAAGAATATACATTATAGTAAAAAAATAAAAAAGGAAAAGAAAAAATAGGAATATTATAAATTTTAAAAATATATTAATTATTATTATTTTACTCTTTATTATTTTGATTATAATTTATTGTTGATAATTGTTAATGAAGTTAATATAGATATAATCTACCAATAATTTTTTGTCCATCTTTGTAGTTATACATTTACTAAAGATGTCGGAATATTTTCCATAAACTCTTCATAATAAGGTCAATAAATAAAAAAAAAAAAAAATACTTATAATTTGTAATATTGTTTTATTATTTTTTTTGTTAATTATTTTTTTATGTTTAATTTTTTTTTATTTTTTGCACAACTATTTTCTTTCTTTTAATTCATAACATCCTCCATACTATCGAAAGCTTCCTTAAAATTATTACTCATCGATTTTTTTAATTTTTTCACTTTTCTCTAAAGAAACGTGGAATTTATTTTTCATTACAACATTCCAAGTATTTATCAACTTGAAAAAAGAAACGTTACATATATTTTAAAATTATATGAAAGGATATACAATTTTTTCTCTTTTGCAAAATATTATTCTTTTCATTTTTATTTTGTAATTTATTTTTTCTTCATGTGAAAATGCAATTAAAATTGTATCTAATCCAACAAAAGGGTCATTTTCAAATATTTTATATACATCTTTTCTATATTCTTAAAATAAGAATATTTTTTTGTAAATGTCTAGTTAAAAGAAATAATAAACAAAATAAGAATTAAATTATATAATGAAATTATAAAAACCGAATTCATGTTTCTTTTAAAAGCTTTTTTTTATTTTATACCTTTTAAATCATAATAATAATGTTTAGAAAATTCATCATAATAAAGTGACTTGTTTCATGAATTCATGTGTAAACTATCATTTCTATTATTAATCAAATTCATTTTTTTTAAATAAATTATTTTTATTTTATATAGTTTAATATTATAATTTACTTCAACTTCTATATATTTTCTTAAATTATGTATTAAATTTATAAAACTATTATTACGATATTTTTTTTAAAATAATGAATTGATTATTTGAATTATTTTGTAACAGGTATGGAGAATAATGTATATTTTTTATTATTTTATTTGTGCAATAATATTTTTTTTTTTAAAATTAAATGTTTAATATTTATTTATAAAGAATAGAAATAATAATTTTTATCATTGTAATTTAAACTTTTATTTTCATCTATATTCTTTTCTTTTTCTCCGTCATCATGTAATAATTTATTTTTTTTTTTAAATGTTTCATAATTTTTTAAATCCTTGTAGATTTTTTTTATTTTTAACTTTAAAAAAATAACAGTGTTTTTGTTATTTTTTTTTTTTTAGGAAATATATAATGCATATTAAAAAATTTTAACCTCTAAAAGGATGACTTATATTTTACAACATATAAAATGAGTTAACTAGTTTTTTTAAAAATATTGGAAAAAAAAAATAATTTCATCATTTATTTGTGATGTATAAATTAAGCCCATTATTTCATCATAATATAAACTCATATTATTATATATATTGTCTATATACTCTTCTTTTTTATTCATAAAAATCCATTTTCTTAGATTTATGCTTTTTAAAACATACATATGTTTTCATTATTTGATTTTTTCTTCTAAAAAAGACCTATAAGAAAGTTATATATAGCATTTTGTATATTAATAAAATTATAAATAAGTAATAAATAAAATACATATTTATATTATATCATAAAAAAATATCATATTAAAAAAAATTTTCCTTACTTTGGGTAAAAGAGTATTTCATTATATAAGGGATTTGCTAATATAAATCCACAATTTAAAAATTTTTTTTTTTTGTTACTATGAAAAATTCATTATATGTTTCATATAAACAGTGATAATGATAAATGTTTTTACAATTTTCACTTTTACATTTAATTGTTGCATTTTTTTTTTTACAAAATGAACATTCGATCTTTTCTTATAACTTTATCTAAAAAAAAATATTACAAAACAAATATAAATAATAAATTGATATAATTCAAAATTTTATTACTTTTAAACTTATATTATAGTTAGAAATTATGTTGAAACTTATGTCTATTTTTAAATTAATTATTGAAAGTAGAAAAATATGTGAAAAAAATAAGAGATCTTCTTAAATATATTGGTGCTTATAATATTATAAATATAATTATCAAAAAAATAACTCAAGTAACATACTTGTGAATATTTATTATGTTCAATATTATTTTTTTTTCGTGATTGAATATAAACTTTCTTTTTTATATAGATGGCAAATATGAGTAGAATTATATGTGATGCATTTATATTATAAATTATCATCTTTTTTATATATATGAATTTTATCTTCATGTTGAAGTTGATATATATTTATAAATTTTTCTTGTTTTTCTCTATTTAAATTGTTTGAAATAATTTTTAATTCATTCTTTGATTTCTCAAATATATTACCGTTACAATTTAAATTATTAAATTTGCTACTTTTAATAAAACTATTTAAATTATTTGTCACCTTTTCATTATTATTATTAACACTATTAAAATCATTAGAGACATTAAAGTTATTTCTTAAAATATTTATTTTATTAGCTCCATTACTTGTATTTTTTATATTTTCCTTATCACTTTTATATATTTCATTTCATTAACTAAATTCTTTTATGTTAATTAGGTTTTTATTCTCTGAATGACTTATTTGTATTAATGATATAACATGTTTTATGTGATTCATTATTGTTAAAATTTTTTAGTTTTAAACCACTTGATTCATTAAAAGAAAAATTTTTTTTTAATATTTTTTTTTCTTTTTTTAATAAGTGTCTTCTATATTATTTTCTTTATTATTAATATATTCAAATGTTTTATCTTAGTTTATCTTTTTATATTTTTCATTCTTATCATAATTATCTATCTTATTGATGATCTACTTTTATCTATTTTATAATTATTACCATTAACTGAGTTGTCTAATTTATCATAAATAATTCCTACTATAATAACTACGTAATTCTTAATTTAAAAAAAAAAAAAAAAAAAAAAATAGTAAAATAAATTAAACAAATAAACACACAAATATGTAATTAAAAATAAATGAACAAATAAATAAACAAAAAAATGAACATGTGAATTCCTGAGCCTAACAAATTAAAGCTCATTTATATAAATATAGTTAAAAAAAAAAAAAAAAAAAAAAAAA